AGTTTTTGAACAATACTTTTTATTCAATATTCAACAATTTAACACATACATGACATGTATGGGATGGGAAAACAAGCTTAGAACTTATTCTAATTCCTTTCCCAAAGTTGATATAAAACTATATGCTATATAAAAAATAATTCTTTAAAAAAATGTGTTTCTAAAATGTCAAGGTGTGTAATTTTAAAGAGATACGTATCAGATGGCTGTATTGATTTTTATGGACGGTTGATTGATTTAGCCTAAGTGTGGGGTTCGGACGTCATGGTATAGGGTATACAGGGGTAGACATGAAGAAGATGGATGGGGTGTCAATACAACAATAACAGATACAAGATCATCGAGGTAACAGGAGATACCGGGACAGATTTACCCCAGATAATACTTTATAATGACCTGACACAACGGCCCCGGGGTACAGGGCTCTCGCCACCCCGCCCCATACAATACGGTTTGACACAACAGCCCGGGGGTATAGCTCTCAACACCCTACTCCGCACAATGATCTTTGACACAACAGCCCGGGGGTAGGGCACAAGCCACCACGCCCCATGATACTTTCTCTGGACAGATCATTATAAACATGTTGAAGATCAAATCTATACCAATTAAATGTTATATTAGTTTAATAGAGATTATTGGCAGTATCCGCTCCAGGTCCCCCGGGGCCAGTCATATCAGAAAACTTATCTTAAAATAGAATAAACGTGTACTTAAAATACAGGGGTATTTATTTCATTTAGTTTTAATCTCTTTCTCTCTCCCTCCACCCCCTCCCTGTGCATTTCTTTCTGTTTCTTTCTGTGTAGTGTGTGTGTGTCTCCCTCTGTGTGTGTGTGTCTCCCCCTCTCTCTCTTAATATACAAGCATAATTACAAATCTCCAATCAGTTTCATATATATATATATAATTATGCTTTTAGTTATTGTTCGAATCTAATAGGCTACACAGGTATCAAATCAACAATAGAGAAATATTCTATAACCCATCTCTAAAATAAAAACATTCTCTAAAATTTATAACTCATTATTTAAAAAGGATTTTAAAATTATGACAAGGATATGCTGATTATAAACACCAGTTTAATTAAATGTTTTATTTAAATTTCATATCCTGCTTTTATGGGGTTGACGAACACCAGCAAGTAATGAAAAAAATATATTTTCAAGTTTTATTGTTCGAAATAATTTATTAACCACGAAAAAATATAATGTTTAGTTAACTATATTACAGTTCTGATGAATTATTGAAATAATAAATAGCGATATTATTCACACGCAATTTTAGTAGCAGGGTTGTAAAGTATCAGGAAAATAAATTATACAAACAACTTAATACAGTTATTATGATAATTTACATTTTTTGTTTTCCCTTGAGAATGTAAAGAGAATTAGAAACACTGAGAATCGATACCATCTCTTGTTTAAAATTCAACTTAATTTTATTTGAATCTTTTAATTCTGATTCATGTTTCCTGTGAAGGTATAAAGCACCTCTTTTAACAATAAATTTTACGGGGTGTAAAGAAAACGTGCCTGTTTCTAGTTGCCTACTCACTGTGGTGCGATACTAATTTCTCATGACCGAATCTTTGTTTACAATTTTTCCGTTTGAAGATATGATTTAAAAAGACACAGAGATTAAGCGATCGACGTGTATACCAACTTACAATTATTAACTTGGGAGGAGGAGGGGTTCATATGTTTTAACATTTGATATCTTGTGCCCGTTGTTATATATATACATATGATATATATATATATATATATGTGTGTGTGTGTGTGTGTGTGTGTGTATAACAGAAACAAGAAAAAAAAACAAAATTGAATAAATAAATAAATAATTTTATCGTTACAATATACAACATTAAATAATTTGCCTACTGACGAGCCGATATATTAATTCAACATGTAAGAACAGTCTAAGTCTCAGATCCATGCTTTCTGTAGTCAAACCACACCACTGATATATATTGTCAATAAAAGCAGTGATTCGACCTTCAAGATCTTTTTGTCTGAAAAATGAAAATATCGAGAAAGGAAGTTAGCTGCAGGAGCTGTTTATATCAGACTAGAAACGTAGTATGTATGTTTCAGATGAAATTGATCCGTTTGTGTAACATGGAAATGAATTCCGTGCCAAACATATTAATATGAGATGTCCATTTCAATATTTATGACGTCAAATACTATTTAGTAAGTATATATCGTCTCCAAACATTAATTTAAATGTATTATGTAATTTGGATAAAAAATTCCCACACAGACACAAAACATACACATGAAATGAATTGTAACAAATCTAATTTCATGAAAACGTTTTATATATTTTGATCTGTTGCAGTTTGAATAGAAAATAAGTATTGAAAAGTTAGGACACGTCTTAAGTTTCAATGTGCAGGTAACATATGATATACTATATTGTTATTTATTTCATTCGTAGTCCATTCAATTTGATGAAAACTGAAATCTGAAACCCTGTATAAGACGAAACTAAAACTGGATCATTGTACCATTAACTAACCAATATAGGGGGGGGGGGGGGGGGGGGAATCAAAACAACAACAATGAAATCCACCAGTTCTATGTGTGAAATGAACGACTGACCGAATACCTCTTTAAATCAGGGTTTCCATACCAGATAATATTCAGTATAATGTACAAATGTGAAATTCTATGAGCACGGTATTTTCAAAATCGTTAAATGGATAAACTTAAACAAATATCTATGTGAATATTATTTTTTTATTCAAGAAATATAAAAAAGAACACGGAAAGAAAAAAATAAAAGAAGAAAAGACAAATCATTTCCGAATAATTTCCCGGGAGCTGTTGTCATTTTTATTTCTTAGTTTAAAGTTGATTGTACTTAAATACGTGAATTTTTGAAGTATCAAATGATGCAGTTTGAACTGCAGTGAGTATTGAGAAAAAAAAAAAAAAAGAAATATGTTGCTTCTGTTAAATGTTTGTGGAAAGAAATATATACGTGTATCTGTAACTGATTGAAAACAGTAACCCATCTCGTTCACGGAGTTGAAAACAACAACACGAGCACGTGCTAAATAGGTGACGTAGTTTTGAATATGTAATGAGACGAGTCAGTCCAAGTCGTGTCTAAATGTAGTAGGCGTGGTCAGATGACGGATCAAAGTGTCCGGAATTGTGGAACGTAGTGACGGTTTTATGTAGATAACAACTAACTTGCCGGGTTACATGTCAAGACAGACAAAGTTAGGTCCTTAATCTCCCTCTCTCACAAATAGTACGTCTTCGGACAGTGTATTTCCTACTTTGTCAAGTAAAATAAAAACAGAACAATGTAGAAGCGAAATATGGAAAGAAAACTGCGGTAAAATGTAGAAATAAGTAAGTGGAATGTCATCACCATTCACCTATAAACTTTCACAATATAATTCTGTCTAAAGTGACGACAAATCGTGTTATGTCATTGAATTTATATAGATACTGCAATATAGCACGTGTGCAGGTGAGCGACTACAGAGGCTGGATGGTAATGACATATATAGAAGTGAGAAGGAATTAAAAACAACTTAATCTGATCAAAACATAAACTAAAACTACGACAAGCTATTGATGTAACTTATATAATTCTCCCCGTCAAGATTGAAGTATGTTTAACATGCAACACATTTAACAACATGCACAGTAAAGGTTTTTATTTTTAAAACGTATTTTATTGCATAAATGAAGCAAAGTGTTAGGCGCAGATTGATACTTCTAACACAGACCCTCCCTACAATATATATTGTAAGAAATAGGATATAGTGAAATTACAGTGAAAACTGTCTCGTGTGGAAAAAAACGTAAGTTTTAAAAGAAATTCGCATTAAAAAGACCAACTTGATGTAATATTCATTTAACCATCTGCTAAATTTCATGTAATTTTGCGTATTTCTGAAAATTATAATATTTAATATTATTATATTTGTTTCAACAATAAATCTACATTATATATCGATAAAACATCAAAAGTTGAAGCATTAAATAAATAAATAGATAAATAAATAAATAAATAAAACATCTATGGGTATATTAGCTTGGTAGGTATAGTTTTATTTTTGTTTTTATTCAAAAAGTTATTATTTAAGAATGTGTGGATTGCTATCTGATACAGGTGTTTATTTATCCATCGCTTGTATGTTTGGTTAGAAACCGGTATGAAAGTTTAATATCCAATATATGTTTATTTCTGGATGAAAATTTGTCCTCCAATTCACATACATAATGTACAATATTAATACCTCATTTTTTTAACTGTCAGATACAAATATATTATTACTACATTATATTTCATGTGCAAACTTATAGTGTCAAATATTGTACCATACCTTACTGATAATAACAATTTCAGTCCAACTCTCATGAAATTCAGCGCATCCTTGATCCAGTCACTGGACATCAGGTGTAGAGAGGTCAGATTGTTTTTGTGTGGGCTGTTCAGTTAAAGAATAAAAACCTTGGAACGTTCGTGTCGAGTTATTATCACATATCATTTCAGTTTGTAATATATACTGGTGTGGAATTAATTTCAGAGAAAAAAAGTTTTTCTTTCCTTTTTTTCCCTAAATATATTTCAAAATAATTACCTTTATACCCACATATAAAGAAAATTAAAAGTTACAAGGGTTACATACTTGGGAGAGTTCGGGAGAGGAAACTCAGGTCATAAAACACTTTATGCCAGGACTTGAGGATATACTGTTTTCTTTTTTCCTTTTTATAATTGGCCAATATAATTGAATCACAGGTAGAATTGGTTTAAGATGTGGGTATCATCAACTTCAACCTTGACCTTTGACTAATCGGTGACCCCAGGGTCACACGGATGCGGATGAGTGACTGGCTGAGAGGTAATGGGAGTGTCATTTCTCTGGGCCCCTCGACCCTGTACCAGTCGAAACGGTCAGACTAAGCATTTGAGAACTTATCTTCTCAGCTGTCAGGTAGAAAGCAGGGAGCGAGTCAGTAACACGTCTTCCTCTGGTTTGACGTTTTGACGGATAGAGAGCAAGTCACCGTCCGCGTGCTGTTGTGCTTTGTTTACAAATCTTCCGGAGTTTACACACTTCATTTCTACTTGTGTTTATCAACTATTCATAAAATTCCTTGGAATTTATTAATTCTTACAAACGAATTGTGTGGAGTGTTGGATTTACTTGGAAGTACAATACTTGTAAAAGTTTTTTGACTCCAGGATTACTTCTCTTTGTATCACTCGTCAAAAGTATTTAATTTCCAGTGGCCATTTTTTCGAAGGGTGAGTTTTGTGATGGAAGGTATATCATTCAATATGCCGTTTGTTTTCTCGGCGACATGCATGTCCCGTAGCGACCGCTGTCAACTTTTGAATATTTATCACAGAGGGTTTAGATAATTCATTATTTCTGTGTGTATATGTGTTAGACACATATATCACACATAGTTCCCTTTAATTAGAGGGCTTTTCTGGTTTGGTAGACATTCTAGTAATGTAGACACACGTGTTTATTTTTGTGTTTGTAATTTAGGAATATAAACACACTTTATACACAGGCGAAACACAAATAGGGACTACTTCTCTTGGCCGAGAAACTTTTAACGGACAAAAATGCCATTTCGATCTGGTACTTCACCCTCCTGCTTCAGCCTTGTCTTATGACGGTTTTTTTTTTTTATTACAAATCAATTCCGAGTGCTTCATTTAATAGGAAAATAATGACAGTGCCTACATTTCGACTAAGCAGATTTAATAGATAGTATCGGGAATTCATACCTTTGGAGTAGGGCGGTTTATGGTCAACGTTAAGAGATGTGTGTGTGTGTTTAACAATTTTTTGCCGACGACCGTTGTATAGTGTGATAACGGAAAACATTCTGTACCGAATTCATGTCCACGGGGACTTTCACTCAGGGATCAAAAAGGGGGTAAACCATCACTCGGAGATAAGTCTCCGAACAAGTTCCAATGACAATATTGGTGTTTTAGGAAATTTTAGTGGAATTATCATTATCATCTATTCAGTCTAGTAATTCTCCGGGGCAAAAATTAATAGCATCCACGAAGGATTTTCCTAAATATCGGGTCAAAGTATGTCTCTCTCAATGTTTAATTTCCTTGCTTTTTGTACCGTGGTTATTTTATCGGGAGTAACGAAAGTCTTGCGTCATTAATTCTGACGAGTTTGTTGTTGGATGTAAATCTCCACAGACACTTCCTATCCATCCTAACTTGGTAGATGATAAAGCTCACGTTTACCAACGTCTCATCGACTGTCTCATCTTCATTATCTTCGTCATCGCATATTTCTCTCGTGTATGTCACAATCATGTTAAAACACGATAAGAATATATGAGTATATATATATTGTGTGTAGTTTAAAGCTGATCAAATTATGTTTCTCGTACAAAACATGAAATTTATCAGATAGAAATTAATAATTCTAAAAAACGAAATGCTATATTTTTTTCTATAATCAATAATATTAGAATTATTTATACTATCCGGAAATATCACCCTTTTCTTTATTTCATTTTTAAAAAAATCTATTTTATATTTATATAAGTTTATAAATTGATTTTGTATCGATACAAATTTGACTGAGATAATTTCTGGGTATGTTTTCACGCTGTCATGGATATTTATTGTGTAAAGTTATCCGGAGTGAATTATTGACACTCCAGTCACGGCATGTGGAATCCTGATATATCGATGGCAGCATAACGTTTTCAAGGGTCAGTTCATGCCACGGTATTATCCGGTGATATCGGAACACTCTAACCAAGCATAGGAAGTCTTCGTGTACAAAATATGTAATATAGAAAAACGTGGAAAAGCCGTCAAAACTATCAGTTTCTACATATGTAAGTAATTTGGGCATGATAGCCAGTGTTGGCTGAACGGGGCGCAGGACCCGACGAGATGAGTTTTGCAGATAGAAACACATACATCGTATTTTCATCTGCGGAACCATTACGCCGAGCCGACAGTACGACGCCGAAAGTGGGACCCCGATTTAATAAAAGACTTAGTACCATACAATAAATACCCCGACAATACTGGGATTTCAATAACATCCTTCACTTAATTTTAATCCAACTGTAGCTTTTATATTTTCCTTTTTTTCTTATTATGAAAATTTTATTTAAGCTTATTTTATTAATCTTCATTTTTTCTGTAATGGCTTCTGCAGGGATTCACATGTGTAAATTTCCACACTATTTATCTTAATACGCTAATGACGAACAAATCCTCGTGCTTAATTAACATAATTCGATACCATCGCTAATGCAGAAAATGAGATACAAAATTTCGGGATTTACCCAGAGATGAAAAAAAATCTAAATAAATCAAATTTATATCGTGTCTCTTATGCAATGGTTTTATTACCCGTCGTTTAGTTTAATAGTCTGATTTAATAAAAATCTTTTAAGATTATGTCTTGGTTATCAAAATGTGAACAGGATATCAAAAGAGTTGTTCGCATAACAAAAGCAAGTGAAACAGACCCATGAAAAAAAAATCAAAGAACACGTTTCGTCTTATTTTCCTGTAATTTTGTCTCTAGCTTGTTAGCCAGCAGAAGTCATCAGGTTTTGTTTGAAGTGTTGATTGGACCAATATCATTGAAGCCTGTTTGAAATAATCGGGTTATTGTTATCATAATAAAAGCATATACAATTCTGGGGAAATGGATGATCGGGCTACATGTAATACCATTCTGGGTGGTGCACTTTTAATATCCGCTTTTTTTCCATACGAAATCACCTTCAAGATTAAACATTGCACATGAACTGAATTAAATAATATAACAAAGAATAAGGTACAGAAATTTAAGAAACATCATCAACAGACAAGAAACGAATATATTTTACCAATTAATTCAAGATAGTATTATTAGCGATATTAAATATATAGGATTAATGCCATGTTCATGTAAATCTTAATGAAATTCATAATTAATGGTGATGTTATCAGCGAATTTATATTTTTATTTCGATGGATGGATTTTTATGATGTATCCAGAGAGAACGCCGGACCGCTGGGTTCTAATTTTATCTTTCTAATTTTCCAATATGGAGAGTATTTACTATCTGTCCCAATTCTTCCTATCCGGAAAAATGTCCCGGTAAATTAATCCGTCGGGTCCCACAACTATATGGCACTTTCCGCGCGGATGCGAGCACCTGATGGTGAATAAGATAACAACGGTATCATCTTTTAAGCAATTTTCAATTACCGTTAGTTCCCGTCTCTCCAGACATGGCTTTTTTAGGTGTCAACTCTATATACTATACACCCCGTGTTAAATTGTAAATTACTTCACTAACTCGATTTTCCATATCATCAGTTATTGTTCCTGAAGAGAGTTTTTAGCTGATATAATTGTTTATAGTTCATTTCCAGAGTGTTTTGTATTTATACTTATAAGTAATTAGATATTTGTGGATATACAATTTAGTGCTATGATATAGTATATTTTTCTTTCGTGGTTTTTATCACCATAGAAACAACTATGTTTTCTTTTGTGATTACAGTTTTTTGTTTATATAGAAGATATGCAGAAAGTTGGTTGGTATAGTATCAAAGATATACTTTTATTATATAATTTCCATACACCACGAAGAGAAATACTAGAACATTCATTTTCATCGATTGACAAGTTGACAGTATAACTGAATGGCAAAGCAAGTTCTATGGTATTTTGTGGTACAGACACGCTGTAGACAAGAGTCGGGTACTGGACGTGTAAAATAATTTCAACAATGTTGTAAATATTTAAGCTGTTACATCATTAATTAAGATTCTAATCTAATTTTAAACGTTAAGTTTAACATTTCAAAGTCGAGGTCAAATACAGTAATGGAAATAGGCTTTATAAACATACGTCTTTTTTCGATTTTCGGCTTACAGTCGTATGTCCAGCTGACCCCGAATATTGTTGACATAGGCTTAGTGTATCATATACGAAATAGGGTCATAAGCTATTCAAATATTTAAAGGATCTTGTAAGGAATTGTGGTTCTAAATGAGCAAAGCGGCGTATCTAGTTTGACTGGCGGCAACTATCGCTTACTGAGTAAACGAAAAACGTGATTCACGACTCAAATTTGCGCGGCGCGACCGCGGCTCGGCTGTGGATTGGCTAAGCTTTAGTAAATATGATTAGAGGGCGAATTTGATCGATTCTTGGTGGGCGGAGCTAGGGGCGTGTTCGGACGATTCCATTTTGACATGCTTGGCAGTGTTAACTACTTGTAACGTCTCGGCATGTCTTTGACGATGATTGAGCAGCAGTCTTGTCCCGATATTGGATGTGAATTTACTGCTAACACCGGTGAACGATATTTGTCAATGAAAGTTAAATAGTAATTCTTAAATATATCGTTTTTGGTTTTCCAAGTGTGATTTTTCGCTGTCCCGGGACGCCGTGGAAGTTTGTGGGTTATATGTAAACACGAGACGGCATTTCATCAACAACACAACACTACACAGGTTAGCTCCTTTACTCGTGTGTTAGGGAGCGGCCCCTTCTAACTAACCGAGCATCACACTCCTGTTTTTTCATGCTTGTATATATTTTGGGTCGGTAGGAGCGCCGAACGTTTTTATCTGATTTGAGATGTTATCAGCGAAGTTCAGCAACGGGCCACGAATCGGAAAATACAGCTGTGATGGAGGAACAAAACCATTAAATTCTTGTCTTTTTAAACCATGCACCAAAATTTTCATATAAAAATACACGTCAAAAAACTTGTGTTTAACATACCTTGTGAATTTTCACGCTAAATGTTGTCCGCAGCGTGGCTGTTAAAATAGATGTTTTGACTGGCGTTTAAACTATCGGGATTCGTACGTAGGGCCTATCCAACCAGCCGAAGATAAATTGGCATACGAATAAATTTACTATAGATATGTTACGACCCCTCCACTTGAACTAAGTGGTGGTCCCCATTCCACCGGGCCATTCTTCTCCTTTATGTAATTTCAACTTGACATATATTTGGTTGCTAGCAGTGTCGAATACTTTGGAAGCCCCTGCTGTCGATAGTTAGCTCGCCCGAGGCTGCCATACCATTGACAGGTCGTTCATTATACCGGTCGCTTGTAACGTAGGTTTTGATTGACAGATTTAGAAGTAGTAGCCACGAGTAGAGACAGCTAAGTTGCTAAACTAGGCGAGTGTTGACGCTGTACTGCTGAAACGTTTACCAACTTTGACAGTTCACCGTCTCTTTGACAGGGCCAGCGATCTGTTTATACCAAAGGGGACACTACCAGAGAGGAACACGGAACACTGAGTGGGCCAAAGCGGGATCTTGTAGGGGCCGAAAGGGCCGGAGCTACATGAACACGGCCCATGGCTCAGCGAGTATGTATATACAATGTACCGTAGACCAAGCTTTATTTACAATTTATTTATTATTGTGCTGTGCGAATATATTGGATTGAGAAGTGATATATGATGGACTTTTGAACTACTTTGTCATTCTGGATATGGATGGGAGTATAATTTTTTCCACGTCTATTTTAATTTCAGTACGAAAATGACATCCCGGCACATTACCCTGGCTCAATCGCGGGTATGGATGGCATGTACGAATCACATCGGACGTTACCCAACCACCCGGCCCTCCATCAGGGTAACCTCACGCCAGGCATGCACCAGTACCCCCCTTATACGTCCAGTAGTTCAATGCCGGGGGTCAGTTCGTCTCAGGATAGCCAGTTAAAGCGAGATAAAGATTCAATTTATGGGTACGTAATAATTGTTGTTTGTGTGTGTGTGTGTGTGTGTGTGTTATTGACCCGGCCAAAGTTTATTTCGCGGGACCACGTGCAACCCGTGCAGTCTGGGCGCGCGCTATACTTTCGACATAAATGTAACACCCCCTTCATTGTCAGGTGTATGCCAACATGTCCACTTACGCACACGACACATTATAATCGAGTAAATGTGATGAGTATTTCTATATTATTTACAGTACCATGTCTTTGTCTATATATAACCGCCGTTCTGTAACACTACGGCCGTGTCCGCTGGTTTGACACCGGGCGGCCCGATAGACTCGACCATGTTGGGATCTTTGTAAACACGCCAGACAATCTGTATCACTGATGAAATATTCACTAACATCATATATATTCCGTGATCTTTTTCTTTCTCGTTTCAGACACCCACTGTTTCCATTATTAGCACTTATATTTGAAAAATGTGAACTAGCTACATGTACTCCGCGGGAACCCGGGGTGGCTGGAGGGGACGTCTGTTCGTCCGAGTCATTCAACGAAGACATAGCAGTTTTTAGTAAACAAGTTTTAGTAAGTATTAAAAATAATGTCACGAAAACTTTTTCTCCTTGAAATGAGTTCAAAACCATTTAAATCTCAGTAAACATGAAAACATGTTTGAATATAATTTTATTTAATGTTTTTTGGAGCAATTAATGTTATTTACATGAAAAAGCTTGTTTATAAAACAAAACTAAAATTTAATTTTAAATCATTGTTTACGGGGAAAAAATTAAAATTTCTTATATGTTTTAATTCAATTTTATTTTCAGAAAGTTTTTCATTACAATAAAATAATTTAATTTCGATTTGATATTGCCTAGCCTGACAAGAGCTTATAAATCAAAAATAAAGATGTAATTTATTACTATGCAACACATTTGATATAAAAAAAAACATCAAGTCTGATTCTGGGGGATTTGGAGTTTTACCATTAACAGCCGAGCTGTGCTAGCAAGAATGGTGTTTATATATACGTTACATCACTAAGGATTTTGCCATCAATCGGAAGTAATGTATTTTGAATGTTCGCCATGTATATGGAGAAAATGGAAAATCTAGCTCTGGGGCCTCGCATCCTAACCAGAGAGAAATAACCGGACATTTTATGATTGTTGAGCTTCATAAATTTTTCTGGATACATGGTTGGTCTCGTGGGATTTTCTTTATGGATAATACTTTGGAATGGAAGAAACGGAGAATAAATGATTTTTCATTTTCTCCTATTTCTAGGCACGGTCGGAAAAACCGTTATTCTCAGCAAATCATGAATTAGACAGTGTGGTAAGTTTTTATTTTCATTTATTCTTGTTAAATTTGATTATTTAATTTCTTAAATAATTATTAAATAATTTTTACTGTTTTGGTTCGTTTAGATGTGTCTGGTATTATTTATATCATTATAACTGTGAAAAAAATTACTAAACTCTTGTCTAAAATGTGTATATGTAAGTCTGCACTGGCCTGGTATTTTGTGAACACTGGTTAATTTATTTTGGGAGCCAAGTTTTTAGCAACACAGAATACTCGTAGCTAATGAACCATGGATAGAGATGGAACAAGAAATAATCATATCCCAGGTCCCCAAAAGCACATGGCCAGGCAGGCAAATTTCGTTGAAAAATTGGCCAGATGTTTTGTGAAACTACTAATGACCGAGGGGTCTGTGTTTTTCCCCGGCCAAGTTGGCCTAGGAATGTGAAATGGTCGCAAACGGTCCAGTCTGAATATAAATTTCCCTCAAACAGCGGATGTTGGGATATTTCTTTCACATGTGTTGGTAAAAAAAAAAAAAAAAACCATTCTGGTTCTATCGAAATACAAATTGGAAAATGAGAAAATTCCAAGCTTTGTCTAGGTGTAAACTTTGAGATAAAATTTCATGTGTATAATGAAATGTTTATTCATATCCAATTTTAATATTTGAAATTTGAGCTCTTATTTTTCAAGAAAGAAACTCTATTTAATTGCTGTTTATCAAAACGATTTTCTGTTTTTATATGCAGATGATACAAGCCATACAAGTCCTTCGATTTCATTTACTGGAACTTGAAAAGGTACGTTTTTAATCTGGTGTTAATAATTTAATATTGAGTGTAATAATTTCTCAGTTAGGCCCCTATGAGACATTCCGTTAACCTCTGACAAATTTAAAAGCTGTTGCAGACTTGGGTTTTAATTGCATGTGTGTATCGGCACTTATCAGCCTTCCTTTGTTTGCGTTAGATGATAGAGGTATGCGGGATATATCGTGCCCTCTTGTTAGCTGACCCTAGAAAATCTCCTGATAAGTGACAATTATAGACCAGGATTTTCCGACCTCATCATTGCCCATATACGCACTGTCTTAAAAATATCGTCGACGTAATTTCAGAAACAATACCCTTGAAAGAAATTAAAACCAAGTATGTACTGGTACGAAGTTGATGGTATGAAAGTTGTGGGGATTAGATTTCTAAATTAATAGATTTTAATTATAAGATTTAATCAGTTTTGTAAATTTGATGCTCAGAATATCTACTTTTGTCTTTCATAGTAATAAAAAAAAATTGTTTTTCTTTTGCAGGTCCATGAACTTTGTGATAATTTCTGTCACAGATATATTAGTTGTTTAAAAGGAAAAATGCCAATAGATTTAGTGATAGATGATAGAGAAGGAGGAAGCACGACATCCAAGTCTAGTTCGGACAATCCTCCGGATCCTAACGATGTTGTTGACCAAGTAAGTATTAACCTTATTTATTTTTACACTTTTCTAAACAATTAAAATGGCCCACAAAATACCTTTAAAACAGATAACACATCTTGCAGAAATATTAACATCCTACATTGGATTTGTTACCAAATTAAACCTACAAAATTTTCCTTGTGAGGTTAGAATTTAATAAGATACTTGTGAATGACATCCACAATGAAGAAATATGATTAACACTATAAAACTAATATCTGTTTCTGTTTAAAACATTTTATCTTTATTAAAATAAGTGCCTGTATCAAACATATACAAGATAAATACATAGCAGTAATTTATAAATTCAATTATTAACATGCAACGTCATTGAGAATTAATTAGAGGTTAGTAGGGTGACCCATATAACGTTGAGTAATAAGAGTGCGGGGTATCCCTGTTCTAAATAGACCTGGTTATGGGACTGAAATGTACAGCCAGACCATCCTCTCCATTTGGGGCTAGTCAGAAAGGGTGTCCAACCATTCCGTTTATGGGCTATCCACAGACACACTATTACCATTGAGAGGTCATAAAAGTGACAGCCAGTCGGGTCAAGCTACCCACTTGAAATCTATTCTACTTGAACATTTTATTGAATTTTATTTTATCAGGGATTTATATCCACACAAGGAATATACAAAAGTAGTCCGTACTTCAGGGTGTAAATAGTTGTTTCTAGGTATAAAACGTTATTTCGGTAGGAGATGTGAACACCGTCGAGGGACACATAAATCACACGGTTAATATGTAGAATGGAAGTTGATGAAGCAGACGAAAATTGGCAAGATGAAATTTGATTGTCATGGGGCAAAAATTTAGCTAGAAATGTCGTCGCTAAAATTATTGACAGGGAATGTATTTTGTAAATTAAATATTATGCTTGGCTTTTAATTCATTTTTCAATATGGCCTCACCTGAAGTCTCCAGTGAGACTTGAAGTCGGAGGGGGGAAAAACTCTTTGGAATAATTAAAAAAAAAGTCTTCAGTAACAGCAAGGCTCTCTGCATTTAGATTAGTTTAATGAATAACTATACAATTTTTAAAGTTTGAGGAAAATTATGACCAGAGTATATTTGTCTTTCAGGACATTTTGTTAACGTATATTAATTTTTAACACTTGGGCTGTAGGAGTGATGGTTTTTGAGAAACATGATTGATACAAAATATATTCTTGTGTTGTGCATTAATTTAGAGAAATGTGTTAACCGATGGTGGAGTGTATATACAAGTATTATTAAAAATCTTAATTTGTTTTCTGGGCTAATTAATGATATACTTCAGTTTTTAAATTTCTGGAAGGTGTTTGGACTATTTTAATGTCAGTAATTGGGTGTTTTGTTGTCAATGTGTTATGTGTTGAAGGATCGTAGTGTGTCTTAAGATTTCAAGTATATATAGTGATAAATCGGTGCAGTTTGCTGATAAAAATACGAGGCTTGTTGGCAGATAAAGACCCAGGTTTACTGTACACATTTTAAAATTATGATAAATGGTTACTGAAATAGCACATTGACTGTGGAAGTGTAGGTAAAACAAGTTTGTTGACATGTGGGTAAAGTGATGTTAATTTCAGGCCTGGCCTAAGGTCAGTCCTGTCCCAAACACTCGAGGGACTTGGGTCCTGGGAAGGTTGTTGACAGAAGCCCTGTCTAAGGTGTCAGTATTAATTGCCTGTGTTGTCCCCTGCTTTGTAAGGTGTATGGAACATATGATTGTCTATGTGCGTGATAGACCACCTTTAGACGGTTTTTTTCGTGTTTGGTATAGAGTGGGGAGTATGTCGGTCTATACTTCACAATAGGTCTTTATCTAGCCTTGGTTAGGCTGTAATGGACACACTAATGACTAGCCATTGTCCCCGAATCTACAGAATATTTAAAATAAATTGTGGATGGGCCAACCGGATATTTTTGATAGTGTGTTGAAACGTTGGAATAGTTTTGTGTTTAATTTATACAGATTTTTTTGTCGGAGAAAAGGTTGTATGCTATTATATGAAGTAGTAGGTAACAATGTATTAAACGCCAAATTTTATCAACAGGGAATATTTCGGTATTATTATATATCAAAGATGTTTGCTTTGAGGTGAAATATGGAAATTTTTAGTTTAAATGTATGTTAGTACAAACATAACATAAAGACAATGCCCCCCCCTCCTCCTCCCAACCATCAAAATAGTAACAAGTTAATATGTTAGTTGTATATAAAGCATCGGGCCTAATGTACACATGCAGTTTATTTAACATACAAAAGAAACATTTTAGGTTTTATTAAATTACAGTATTAAGTATTCTAGATTGGAAACATCCAGCACTTGCACGGTGGGCTCGGCTATCAAAATTTCTCTACACTCCTTCAAATGCTACACAAAAATTCTTTTTTTATTTATTTGTCGTATTTACTAAGCTGAAATCACTTGAGAATACTTCAGGTTATTTTGCTATATCGTTCAGGACTCGCCAAGCAGACGACCTGGTCCTACAGGCCTAATTGATTTCGTAGCTCTCCAATTTGACATGAATACCAATTTTTTATGATATTTGACACTGTAAGTCATCGGATCAGTTGTTTTATAAAAATGATATCGTGCATGTCTCAAAAATGTTCTCGGTATAGCTAATCCTTTTCAAGAAGAACAAAAAAGATTTTGAAAGATGTTATTGTAAATAATGGTTGCCGTCATAGTTTGATCTGGTCTTTTATCTTAGGTTCTACCTACCTCGGAGATAGTTGTTATCAGTCTGAATGGGTAGCTGACCTCATCTCAATGTAATTGCATTAAAATTGAGTTTATTTGCTGTATTAAACATTCAGATTTACTGAATCATATGTACACAGCTCGTGTGAAAAAATTAAAGTCCGGTATGGACTTTTAAAACAGAGACGGGCTTAGCCTGTCCATGGAGTAAGATCTGTGTTTATTGGTATATAGAAGGAAGACGAATGTTCGGGTTCATAAATTGTGAAAAACGTTTTGTGTGTCACGCTTGTCGAGTGAGGGAAGATCTAGATCGTGACAAGAGGAGCTGGCTCTGCTAACAAAAACAATATTAATTCTACCAAGTTTAAACACACTTGTCAGTGGAACAACTCGTTACTTTGATTACTGCTAACAGTTTTTTTTTAATTATTACAAACTGTCTCTTTTAAAGAAAGGAAATAATTTACACTATTCAATATATATTTATTTTGACTCTGAAGACATAGAGGGTTTCTTATAGAGAAAAAATACTATCATTTTGTCATTTTATTGAGAAGTTTCATATTGATAACAGGTAGACTGTTTGATTAATTTTAACGGAACCTTTCAAAGTTAAGTTCGGTCAGATTTATGTTTCAGAATAATTTATTCATCATTCAACCTAGAGTACATGATTACAGTAATTGAATATTCTGAAGGCCTAGATTATCAAGGTCTTGAAAGTATTTCTATTCTAGTATTTTATACTGGGGTATGTTGAGTTAATAAGGCTCCTGTTTCAGTCAGCAGAATACAATCCCAGGGGAATTAGATTTCACCATGTCTCGAGATTTCAATTGGCAAAATGTTTTCTGAATATTTAGCAGCTGTTGAGAAATTCAGTGTTTTTAATACTGTAGAGAATACGGTTAAAGTAAATGTCCAGAAATTGTTCGTACTGTGCTGTACATAGTTACTAATGCACACAGACAAACATAATGTACTAGAGGGTACTACCTGTCAGTCTCAATCAAACTATTTGTTTATTTGCTCATGAAATTAATTTCCACTATATTCAGAGAGAACCTGGTATAATAGAATAACTATAGAGTAAATGTGACAGAATGATATCGGGACAACTGCTTGAATAAACAATATAATATAATCGAATAAAAATACAGTACTGATAGAATATGTGTGACAAATATTTAGCTTTATGGCTGCTGGCGGAGCTGTGGTATCTGGCCAGAATGCCTTTGTTAGGGTAGATCTGACCATTGGTCAGTCCGCTGATATTCACTATAACTGATCTTATCCTGCTTTACTAGCGACTGGATTTTCCATTTACTTCCATAATGACCATGGGGAGTATTAGTATCTGATGGTCAGATGAGGGGAAAATGGACCATCCAGTGCACTGGTTAGCACTGGTCAGCAGCATCTGACAAAGTCTGGTAGAACTTGGTCAAGGAGGAAATTTCTGAATAAAGTTTAAGAAAAAAATAATTTCTTTTCATGAAAAATATAACATTTATTTTGGAAATATAAAAATAGAAATGGCTTGAAAATACACATTTATACGGAGAAAACAGTCAGTGTGCTATGATATGCAGGGGAGTCATATTTTTTTTGATGGTGATATTTTGATTTGATAGTAGTGTTTTTTGTTTGACCGTTGGGAATGTTGAGAGAGATGTGTGTTGGTATAGACAATGGCCTCTGTAACAGCTCCTGGCTATATCTTTGTGTTGTGTGCTCTGGCATAGTTTTCATGGCAATATCGGTGATGTTTAGTTGTCAGGAAGGTCAATCATTCTCCGATTGGTTTATACTTATCATTTATGTTTTTAGTTTAATTTGAGGAATTTACATCTGTCAGGCGATGTGTCAACATCCCAAGAATTTTATTTAACAATGCTAACTCTTCAGTGCCAACACTCTAAATGACTTGCATTTTGTAGGATTTATTGTTAAAGGATTTTTGTTTGTTTGGAATCCATCAGAGCAAGTTCAATAGTCACACTGATACTGATCTATAGATATTATGTATTAGTTCTATATTTAGAATGTTAATTTATATCATATGACCACTCCCCTCTCAAAGGGCCTCTTCCTCTGTCCTCGGGACCACTTATGTAGAAATCCTATAAAATAGTATGCAGTAGAGATTATATCCGAGCAAGGTTCTACCCTACCCAGGGATGCCATCCTCCCTATCCCAGGAACCTTCCTTATATGTAGAAGTAAGATTCTGCCCTACCCAGGGGATAATATCCTCCCTGTCCCCAAGAACCTGCTATGAAGATGCAA